GAGTAGAGGGATGAGAAGAGCGGATTTTGGGTCAGGGATGCGTGGGCAGCTCTCTGGGAGAAGGGGAGAACGAGGACAGAGGAGAGGTTTGAGTAGAAGGCTGGACAGACAAGTTCAGGTTGGGGTTTTGGTAGAGGATTTGGAGAGGGCGCAGGGCAGCAGAAAGCGGAAAGTATTGGATTGGCAGACATGACTTGGTCAGATTAAGGGGGACCAGGCTTGGAAGAACCCCCGCCTGAGCCATTAGTTACAATGAAAATAGGGGGTCAGTACAGAACGTTTTTGGTAAATATGGGAGCAGGAAGATCAGTTGTAAATAAGCAGATTGCAGCCCCCCGGATCCCATAAAATCCAGGTTCAGGGGGTATCAGGACAGATTATGGGGCGGCAGGTCTTGAAATCAGAGATGTGTGATTTTAAGGAAGCTGAAATCCAGTATGAATTTTTGTACATTCCTGAGTGCCCTATTCCATTGCTAGGCAGGGATATGCTGAGCAAATTAGGGGCAACAATTTCTTTTGATGAAGATAGTTAGAGAATGACCATAAGGCATTCTCCGGAGGAGATTTGGAGGTTGTTTGATGTGCGCTGAGGATAATCTGCCGGGTCTTGCAGCTTGCCACCCTCCAGTGGGGGTGGAACTAAAACCTGGAGTGGAGTCTGTGAGTATAAGGCAGCGTCCCGTTTCTTGGGAAGCTATTTGTGCTATTTATGAAAGCATTCAGAGATTTGGAAGCGTGGTTTTTGGTGCCTATTTAGTCCTCCTGGAATACTCCAATTATCCCAATTAAACAGTTAAATGGGTCTTACAGCCCAGGGCACGGTAACTTTACACCCGGCCGTGTTGAATCCATATACCCTGTTAAGTTTAATTCCACCCCGGGCTGAGTGGTTTTCTGTTATTGATTTAAGGGGTGCATTCTTTACAATTCTCATTCACCCCATAAGCCAGCCACTGTTTGCATTTTGAGTGGGAGAATCCTTATACAGGAATGAAAATGCAAGATACTGGGACTCGGCTGTCTCGGGGATTTAAGACCTCCCCCACATTGTTTGGAATAGCGGTAGCTAGAGACTTACAGTATTATGTGCCTCAACAACCAGGAGACACAATACTGTAATATGTTGATGATGTTTGGATCAACAGGACTGACAGAGGATTTATGATGGGAGAATACTAAGATGAATGCACGAGGATGTTAGATTTGTTACTAGAGTGTGGTTATTGGGTATCAAGAAAGAAAGCTCAATTGGTGAAAAGGAAAGTTAGATATTTGGGATACAATATAAGGGTCATCGAGCTTTAGGACCAGAGCAGAAAAGGGTGGTCCTAATGCTGGCAGAACCCCGAACAAAAAGACAACTGAGAAGCTTTTTAGGACTAGCTAGCTTTTGCTGTAATTGGATGGGGGGGGCAAAAAGCTGGCCCTACTGTTTGAAGGTGCTGGCTGCAAGTGCAGAATTGATTCAGAATTGTAATAAACTTACTTTTTCTTGTCCTATACTCATGCACTCCCCTCATGAGGAGCAGTCTGTGTTGGATACTAAGGGACATTTGTGGATTAGTGGGCAAAGGCTGACAAAATATCAGGCAATTAGGAGTGAGAATCCACAGGTGTGTCTGGTGGTGTCTAACCGATTAAATCCAGCAACTTTGTTGCCTACGGAGTCTGTTTCTGAGCATGATTGTTTACAGGTATTGGAGGTTTATTCCACCCGACCATGTAACTATGGTAAAATAAGGTAAATATGTATGTTAGGTGGCCTGATTTAGGTCGTAAAGGGGGGGGGTTTGGAATATGGAGATGGTACAAGAACTTAATAAGCACATTGAGAGATTCCAACAATATGTGATGGAATAAGTACCCCCTAGATTAGTAACTTAATGTCACTCATTTGAACCTGGGGACCAAGTGGAAGATGGAAGGGATCTTTTATTGGTATTATGACTTCTCCACTTGCTATTAAGATTGCAGGATGAAAATCATGGATCCATCGGACATGAGTCAAGGCAGCAGCTGACACCGGCTGGAAAGTGTCCGTGGACAAACAACATCCAACAAAACTGACATTTGAATGTGCTTAAAGAAAGCTTTTGTATTCTATATATAGGTTACCTTGATGTATATCTGCTGATGTAACCCGCTGTAAGCTAAAAAGAGGATGGAGCACCTGCTCTCTTGAATTGGTCCGGAACTTGGATCCTGACAAGAGATTGAAGATCATTGCGGATCCATGTGGGAGGAAAATTGGGTGTGGGCACTTTGAGTAATTGGGGTAGTAGCTTTATTGATTATTGTGTTTTACAGATATAAGCAATGGTTTTGTGGACAACTAGGGCCCATTTGATTTCTCAGTCGTTCCGATCCCTAATATTTCCCAACCGGCTGCAGAGTGTGAACCTCTTACAGATGAAAGAAGTCCCTGCTTGGGACACCCTGGAAGCTGCCTTTTGATGCAAAAGAACAGAAAAGAGAATTTTCTTTAAATGTGTTGGTTTTGTAATTGTGGGTGTGAGTGTTGTTGTTGCACTCACGGAATTGATTGTGTTTTATGTATAAGCTGTAAGGTAGAGTGGGACGTGAAGATTATAGAGGAGGTGCTAGTACATTATTTGGTAATAAATCCTGACGAAGTCCCCTTGTGATATTATCTGAAAAGGGAAAAGCTGAATATACCCGAAATTCCTAGTCATGTAACAAATACCTTTGTCAAATTGGCAGAAGACATAGCCCACACTCTGAATGTATCAAATTGTTTTGTTTGTGGAGGAACTAACATGGGAGAAAAATGGCCATGGGAAGCTCAAGGAATTAAATTATTCCAAAATATTAGAAATGGATCAGAAAGGTAATCTGTCATATAATAAGGGTAAGGATGGGGACTGGACATTGACTACTAGTCTGGTAGGGAGTGTGTGTTTTCAGGGAAGAATTGTAGCAGGCTGTCATCAGGTAGGAAACCTCATATGTACAGGAAAATGGGAAAGTAAGGTATGGTGGTCAGGAGGTAATGCCACAGAGGGAACTGATAAAAGGGCCCTGTTTAAGGTAAACAGGTTATCTTTTTTTAAAGGGTCCTGATAATCAGGCCCTTGAATGGCTGGCTCCTGATGGACTATACTGGATATGTGGTAAAATGGCATATGGGGTTCTACCAAGATCTTGGTGTGGAGCTTGTGTCCTGGGAATAATTGGACCAGGATTCTTTTTGCTTCCCCTTAAAACTCGACAGGTTTTAGGTGTCTCGGTATATGATGAGGTGGGAAACTTAAGACAAAGAAGACATGTAGACACATCTGCAATAGGAGGAGTTAGGGTTGGAGGTAACCAACGTGGTTGGGGATGTGAAGAATGGCCTGCAGAGCGAATTATTGAGGTTTAGGGACCAGCTACATGGGCGGAAGATGGCATGTATGGCTATCGGACCCCTATATACATTCTGAACCGTTTCATTCGTCTGCAAGCGGTGGTTGAAATCATCACCAACGACACTGTAGAAGGTCTTACTCAATTAGCTAGGGAGAGTGTCAAATCAAGGACATATCTTATGCAGAATAGGTTAGCCTTAGACTATTTGTTAGCCAAGGAAGGAGGGGTATGTGGAAAGTTTAATTTGACTAACTGCTGTATAGAAGTTGATGAAAGCGGAAAGGTTATTAAGGAAATAACAGACAAAATGGTTGAAATAGCTCATGTGCCAGTCCAGACTTGGAAAGGTCTTAATTTACAGGATATGTTTTCAGGATGGTGGCCAAAGTTACCGGGCCTGCAGGCCATTTTTGGCCTGGTGGGATTAGTGGCTGCAGGGTGTATTTTTCTCCCATGTATTTTACCTCTGTTTGCTAACACTATTAAAAGTCTATCCTTGCTGGTGGAACGTAAGACAACTGCTCAGGTGATGGCTATGTGGGATTACAAACGGCTCCAGCAGGAAGAGGACCTATGGTGTGACTCGTCTGGATAAACAGATGAGTCACAAAGGGGGGTATGAGCCAGGCTAAGATTCGATATTGGGATAAAACTCAAATATTAGAAATCCAAATCTTTGGTCAAGACAGAAGTGCCTCTCCCGTGCCAAGGTGCTGAGATGACAAACGGTATTTGACGTAGGTACAGAATTGTAAAAGGGCAAACTGACCCTAACCAGATACATTCTGTTGTTTAATGTTTATTGTACCCCAAATGTCATGTAGATTTCAGAGAGAAAATACTGTTTCCCTTACTGTCCTCTTTACTGCTTGTGAGGCGTCTTTTAGCCTCTTATCTCCTTTTGTTATGTCTTGAGCTCCGGAGCTGAAAACCTGAGCCTGTGGGAACAGGGCTGTTATGTCTTTCCTAGAGATAGATTAAAGGGTAGCTTCTACGTGTGAAATGCATCACTCTCTGTAATAATTTTGCCTTTAAACTGTATAAATACATGGCCAGAAGAAGCCATCGGCGTTCAGACCCTTAGCTGTCTTTGGACTGTTTGAACCTTGCGCAAATAAACTCTTTCCTGCATTGAAGAGCTTGCCCAGTCCGTTATTTTGTCTACAACAACTTAGCAACATGAATTGGGATAAGAAACTCTGTTAGTAAGCAATGCAGTTATAAGGCATGATGCATGTGATTACACTGCCATATAGCAGTTCTGGCGGTCCCAGTTACCATTATTAAGTGAATACTATGTATTTGCAGCATCTCCAGGTCATGTGATCACCACTTGCAACCTCTAGCTAGCTTTCCCATTGACTTTGCTTTTTGGAACACAGTAGTGAGGGTTACCAAGGTTGTCCATGTGACCATGGGATGTTGCAATGTCATAACTGTGAACAGAGTATCTGAATTGTGATCATGTATCTGTGGGAATGTTACAATGATTGCAATTACAAGGACCCTTTGTAAATACCTCTCATTCAACACTACTGTAAGTTTGAACGTTCACTGAACTAGTGTACGTTAATCAAGGAATATTGGTGAGAGCTCCACTGTTCCACAAAAGGAGCCTCATATGCTGAATTGGACTTTAAAAAAAGTTTAAACTTTATTGATGTGAAAGGCAAACCAGCAACAAGTAACAGAAAACTTATGAAAACTGTATGCAAAATCATACACACATGTTGAGTTCAACTTTGAACTAAATATGTTCTGTTCTAGTGATAATTACATTTTATAATGATTGAAGCAGACCAATAGTTACAAGAAATAAAGCAATTGCAGCACAGTCAAAATCACTGGTAAATCAGAAACTAATCAAGGCAAAAATCAGCGAACAAAATGTTCCTTCAAATAAGAAAAATATCTATTAAATTCCAAGTTTTTCCAATGATTCATTAACAACTGTGGCAAGAAAGGGGTTAAAAAGGGACAAAACTCACTTAACAAACATCTAACTTACTAACAGACATTTTGGGCTCAATTGTGGTCATAAGTTCAGGACTACCTGTATATTAAATTCCAACTCTTCCTTACCATATTCAGAATGGAAATAAAAATAGATCAATCAAATAAGCAAGCATGAAGAAACAGCATCCAGAGGCTTAGCCATTGTCAGATGCAAGGAACCCTGAGCTGATAAGAGAATTTCATCGGATAGGTTGCATTCTCTTGGCAACAACCAGATTGAAATGAGACAACTTGTCACAGCCAACTCGCCACGGACAATGCTATGGTCAACTCAATCCAGCCAACTTGTAGCAGGACAATTAAACCATTCAATTTAATTATTTAAAATATTTTTTAATATTTTCATTTTTGTCATTCACATTTCATTTTGTCCCTCCTTTTGCAGCCTTTTTTTAAATGATTCTATTCCACCATTTCTTTGATTAGTGTAACTCTTGTCCTGTGGTGAGGTGGCTATGGCAACTTGGCCATGGCGATTTGGCGCAGCAACCTGTCCTAGATGCCAACCAAATTAGGGTTTTAGGGATTCTGAAAGTGGTCAGGTCTGCGCCTCTTCCTGCTCTGCAAGGACTCTGAGCTTGCCAGTCTCTTCACTCCTCCTTGGTTTCTAGCTGGAGATTCCACCATAGCTGTTTCCTTCCATTTTCCATTCTGTATAATGTATTTTCCATTCAACCTATAATTTTAAAAAAAGTATGTTAACCTCCCAGCAGAAATCCCTAATAATGAGATTATAATCTGATTCATCCTAGTTAATTTCAGGGGTGATTTGTTTTCACTCATTCTAGGGTGTTTTGTCTGATCAAAAAGTTTGATTTCCAGTCTCTTTGGGAAGATTTGCTATCATTACAATTTAACTGGTGTGTGTGTGTGTATGTTTGTGTGTGTGTGTGTATTTTATCCTTGGTATCCCACTGTTTCTCAAATTGATCTTCATCTCTTCCCCCCCCCAAAATAAATTAGGAAAACAGCTTTCTCATATTTGCACACCCCTTATAGACCTCTTAGGAATGGGGTGAGGTCAACAGTAGACAGTTTAAGTTTAAAGTTTTGGGGGTTTGGGGAAGAAACTACAGAGTCAGGTAGTGCATTCCAGGCTTTGACCTCTCTATTACTGAAGTCATATTTTCTGCAATCGAGTTTGGAATGGTTTACTTTGAGTTTATAACTATTATTTGCTCATGTAATGTTGTGGTTGAAGCTGAAGTAGTCATTGACAGGAAGGATATTGTGGCAGATAATTTTATGTACTATGCTTAGGTCAGACTGAAGTCGGCATAGTTCTAAGTTGTCTAAGCCCAAAATTTGGAGTCTGGTGGCATAAGGTATTTTATTGTATTTTATTTCATTTTAAGGTAGCATGAGAGTGATCTCTATGTCAATTATCATATTTGAAATAAAGAAACGGCATACTGACATTAAAAACTGGCACTATTACAGTCAAATTATACTTTATAGTGCTGTAAGTCATTTAATTTCAAATGTGTTCTGAACTGATTTTTACATTCTGGACTTATTGATTGGTTACTATTTCTCTGAAGTATAATGGAACTACATATTACATTGGATAAGTATCTGACAAAATAAAACTAATTCTATAGTATCACCTCTTGACCCTTTAGGATCAGACATGTAATTAGAGTAAGAATTCCCCCCCTCAATACTGTAATGGATCAATCTCATTAGGTATAACTAATTAATTTTATTGTTTTAGAAAAAGAATGAGAAAATATAATAATGGCTTTTTAATATTAATCACATGCAAAGCAATCAGGGGACAGAAAACTATCAAAATTACATTGTCTCAAATTAATATCCAATGGGAAAAATCAAGAGTTAACACATATTTAAAGATCCCAATGGGTTGATCCCAAAGGATACACTAAGAACATGCAGGAGGTAGCCATGTGGTAGGCAGAGTTTATCTGGGAGGCTGGAAATTACAGTTAATTTGAATAACTGCTTCTTGTTAAAAGTTAATAAGGGGCTCTGCCAGCAAAGTCAGGAGGAAACACATGGCCAAGGAATCCCACCCAGAGGCAGAGGGCAAGTGGGCGGCATGAGAGCAGAAGAATGGCGAGAGCCAAGCCCGAAAGGCAGCCAAGCCTCGCTGTGTCCACCCTGAGGTGGCCCTTCGGCCAAACGCCTTACCTTCGTGGGCAGCCATGGTGAGCAGAGTGGGTGAGGCACGGAGATCAGCTGGGCCGCAGGGGCCATGTGGTCTGGGCAAACAAGTGAGCAAAGGAGCCAGAAAGCAGCTGGGCAGCAGGTGTGACTCTAGGTACTGGCCAAGGTGGACGAGGTGAGATAAGGAGTGGCTGGGAGGGGAGGGTTGGGATGGGGCGAGGCCAGCCAGTGGTGGTATCAGCCAGTTCTCTGAACTGCGCAAAATATTAACAACCAATTTGCTTGAACCAGTGCGAACCAGCTGAATCCCACCTCTGATTTGTATTCTTATAGGAATTGAAGGGAATGTGATTATTAATGACAACTGAACTGCCTCTCCCTGGATATATTTCCATAATATTAAAAATAAAAAAAATGATGTGCAGAGGAAACTGAAAGAACAATCTCTTTGCCAGGCCTGTCCAAATTTTCATCTCCACTAATTATCATCTTGTAAAAATAATAATAATAAAAAGTAATAAAACAGTAAAAAAAAACCATCTCACAATAACTGACTCAAAAACAATTACCTTTCTATTTTTTCACCTCAAATATTAATTTCCAAATAACACAACTTAATGTTTTACACAATTGTTTCCCTAAATTCTATCTATTTTATAATCCCCTTATCCAAAAACCCGTTACTTAAATCTTTAAATCCTAACTCAATATCATTTCATTATCTTTTTATTTTTATTTGAATGAATGTATTTTAAGAATATAAATCATTACTATTATCTTAAACAGCATCTTAACAATTACTCACAACAAATCATCTTCATTATTATTTATCTCAATATAATCCTAATTTAGCCAATAATCCCAACATATTTATCTTTAATTATTTATCACAGCACATCATCTTCATTTTAGTCCTCCTTTTACTTTTAATCCCAGCATAATCATTTTTATTTTAACTGTCCAACATAATCATTTATTTTTACTATTATTTCCAGCAAAATCATCTTTCTTTTTACTGTCAAACCCAGTATGATCATTTTTGTTTTTGCTGTCAAACCCAGCATAATCCTCTGAATTTTACTGTTAAACCCAGTAAAATCACTTTATTTTTTGCTGTCAATCCCAGCAGAATCATCAAAGTTTTACCCAGTATACTGTTAAACCCAGTATAATCATTTTTGTTTTGCTGTCAATCCCAGCATAATCTTCTGAATTTTCCTGTTAAACCCAATATATTCATTTTTAATCTCAACATAAGTTTCTTTAATTTTACTGTTATACCCAATATAATCACCTTATTTTATAATCATTACTTATTCATATTCATTAGCATTCTCTAATTCAGTATATCTAATCTTGTTTTCAATCTCAGCTTTGTTTACAATTTAACATTGAGGCTTAATTCTTACATCAAACATATCCACATATGAAATCAATAAAGTTTCTTGGATTCTTCTCATATTCATATATTTTCTTATTCATCTACAGAAAGCTCCTTTTTATCAAAACTACCCATCTTTACTTCATTTTTCTATTTTAGTCACATTATTTTATTTTCCATACAAACACCTCCTTTTATAATTAGTGTACATCTAAACAATACAGTTTCATTTTTTAATCAAACTATTTTTTGTTCTTCTTTCTAGCGTGAATATTTTATTTCTTCATTTCTTTGTCTGTCAAATTATAATCAATTTCAAATTCAGTGTTCCCAATATTAATTCTTCATGTATCATTTTAGTTCTTTTTATTCCTTATATTTCCTGCGAAGTACATCAACTTCCTTCTTTTATTAAAAAATCCATTGTATTTCCTCTTTCTTTCCCTCAAAAAAACCATCTGTAGACAAAGAAAAAACCTCTAGTCCCGACCACTCACGGCTGTTTCTCAGTAGTTTCACCATGCTCCAAGACAAATGACTAATTACAGTGTTTCTTTTTAAAATGGAAGGTGTTATTCTGCAATCCACACTTTCCCTTCGTCAAATACATCTCCATTTTGTTGTGATTATATAACAATCCAATTCAATCCATTTCTTCTTTTAAAATTCTTTTTTCCTTTTTTCCAAATCCAAATCTAATTTAAACAAATTCTTTCCAAGCTTTGCAATATGCCTCACTATTTATTTATTCCAAATACTTCAAAACCAAAATAGTTTGCCTTGCGGATCTTTTCCTTCTAAAGTCACTTTTCAAGATCTTCTATGCCCCTGTAATCCACAGCCGCTATTTTTAGGCTAAGGGATCTTTCAAATTATAATTATTGCTCTAGCGTTGTTTCAAGCCTAGGTTGGTGTCACTCACCCAGCTTCAAAGAGCTCTGTTCTTTTCACTTTCCTCCTGCACATCTCTTCTTTCGGTATGTCCCAGCTTCGTGGCAGCCACCATGGCTGCCGCCCCCCACCGCCGATGCAGAGAGTTCCCTCCGACCTCCAAGGAACTTGCCTGTTCCTCTTGGTCATCCGAGGCACCTCTCTTTCACCCCCATCCCTGCAGGACAGTTCGGGTCCAAAGACCCACTGGCGGTGGTTCGGCAGTCGGGGTTTTTGCGGGGCTCATCAGAGCCCGCTATTTCCCCGACTGTCTCTCTGCAATGTCAAACCGGAAGTCGGAAATTACAATTATTTCTTGAAAGCGAGGCAGGTATGTATTTTATTGGAACTGAAAAGAATGTGCTTCCCTCCGGATGTATTTCCAGACTATTAAAAATCAAAAAACAGTTGCACAGATCAAATTGAAAGGGGGGGAAATCACTTACTGCAGTGTTTCTATTGTACATTGTGGATGCTTGAGACCCTCACACAGCAGTTCCATTGTTTTGTCATCTGGGTTCTTGAGGGACAAGGATAACTCTCTCAATCTCTGGTTTCTCCTGAGTGCTTCGGCAAGATGCCGGCTGCAGGATTCGGTCAAGATCTCTTCAGCAAGCCTCCAAAGAAGGGTATGAAAAATCACAATTATTTCTTGAAAAACAAGCATCAAATGTACTCTTATAGTTATTGAAGGAAATGTGATTGTGTAAGGCAACTGAACTGCCTCACCATGGATATATTTCCAGAAAAGTAACAAGTCAAAAAATGATTGTGCAGCTCAAACTGAATTGAAGGAACAGTCACTTACTGCAGCATTTCTATTGCACATTCTGGATGTTTGAGACCCTCACACAGCACTTCCATTGCTTTGTCATCCGGGTTCTTGAGGGATAAGAATAATACATTCAATCTCTGGTTTTTCCTGAGTACTTCTGCAAGATGCCTGCTGCTCGATTCAGTCAGGGTTTCTCCAGCAAGGCTGCAGAAAAGAGTGAGAAAAATTGCAATTATCTTTTGAAAAACAAGCTGGAATGTATTCTTACAAGGACTGAACGCAATATGATCATGTAGGAACTGAACTGCCTTCCTCTGGATATATTTTCAGAATATTAACATCAAAAGACTTTTGTGCCGATCAAACTGAAAGTAAATAGTCACTTACTCTAATATCTCTATTGTGCATTGTGGATGTTTGAGCCCCTCACAGAGTAGTTCCATTGTTTTAGCATCTGGGTTCTTGAGGGCTAGCTCTAACTCTCTCAATCTCTGGTTTCTCCTGAGTACTTCTGCAAGATGCCTGCTACACGACATGGTCAGGATCTCTCCGCCAAGCCTTCAAAGAAGAGTATGAAAAATTATAACTATTTCTTGAAAAACAAGCATAGAATGTATTTTTATAGGACTTGAAGTGACTGTGATTATGTAAGGCAACTGAACTGCCTCACCCTGAATATATTTCCAGAAGAATAACAGTGAAAAAATGATTGTGCAGCTGAAACTGAGAGGTATATGCATTTCTTACTTTAGCTCCTTTACTGTACATTCTGGATCATTGAGCCCATCGCACAATAGTTCCATTGTTTTGTCATCAGGGCTTTTGAAGGTCAGTTCTAACTTTCTCAATCTCTGGTTTTCTCTGAGTACTTCTGCAAGATGCCTGCCGCAGGATGCAGTCGAGATCTCTCCACCAAGCCTGTGGAGAATAGTATAAAGAATTAAAATTATTTCTTGAAAGTGAGGCAGGTATGTATTTTATTGGAACGGAAGAGAATGTGCCTCTCCCTGGATATATTTACAGAAAATTAACCCTCAAATGATAGATCAACCTAAAAGGAGTAGAGTAGTTGCAGAGTAGTTCCATTGTTTTGTCATCTAGATTCTGGATGTCCAAGTGTAACACTCTCAGTCTTGGGTTTTTCCTGAATACGTCTGCAACATGCCTGCTGAAAGATTCACTCAGGATCTCTCCAGAAAACCTGCAGAAAAGAGTGAAAAATATTGCAATTACCTTTTGAAAAGCAAGCATGGAATGTATTCTTATAGAGTTTAAAGAGAATGTGATTATGCATAGAAACTGAACTGCCTCTCTTTTATTGTTTAGTAACAATGAGAAAGTGCAGATGTGTTACCTTTCCTTCTTCAGGTTTCAAGGAAACTACTCTCTCACAGTATAGAAAATCTCTATGACTTATTGTCTACCTTTCTGTGATATGGATGGTTTGGGTGCCAATCTTTATTCTTGTAAGTCGGCATTTTCCAGCTAAACATGGGGGGGGGACACACACTATGGATTCTTCGCGCTCGGCTCGCAACTCTTTTCAAAGACTTTTAAAACTCTTTCTCTTCCTAAGGGGAAAACTCTTCGGAAGTTTGCAGATTTGGCGCTGCGCGGTCAGATGCTGCCCCCTCGCGGCACAAACTGGGAGAGTCTCAAAAAGACAAAATGGAAAGGGCAGAAAAGGGGCGACGCCGGTGGTGGGTGAGGAGACGGCGAGGCTCCGCCTGTCCCTTGGCCCGGAAGGCGTGGTGAGTTTTTACAAGAAACTCCCTTCCTCAGCCTGGAGCTATTCCCCCCCCCCCCTGCGGATTTAGGACCAAGCAGCAAATTCGCCAGGCGGAAGAGGCGGCGGGGGTGGCTGGGTGGGTGTCCGAATTGGCGGCTTGGCCGGAGTTGGAGAGAAGAAGGAGGGTCGGAGCTGCCGCACTTCCTCGTCTCCGAAGCTTTGGAGTTCCCGTAATCGAGGGCTAGACGGACTGACTTGGGCCGGACAGGTGATGTCCTCCCGCTTCTGACTTGATGAGCGGCGCCTCTTTTCAGAACTTCCTCCGTTCCTTTGGAATATCTGTGTGCAGATGGGCTGGCTCTTTTCTTCCCTAGAGAGCAGCAGCCTGAAATTTTGGACTATATTTCCCATTAGTCCCTACTAGCTGATCAGGAATTGCTGGTGGAGACTTGCCTGCCTGCCTCTCCTTTACACCCTTACCACACAGAATGGATCCATCTGAGTCCTGCTTTCCATGTGGATTTTAAGCTGATCTTCAGTGCCAGGCTCCGAGTGCCAGAGCAAGGGATGGGGGGGAGAGAGGATGGGCATGGAAATCCATCCCTTGGCACAATGCCATGCAAACAGAGCAGCCTTTCTCACTCTTGGGAACTTTAAGGTGGGTGGATTCCAGGTAGCTGGGGAATTCTGGGGGTTGAAATCCACCCATAATTTCCCAAGGGTGAGAAACACTAAGATAGAATATATATATATTGTGTGCCTTATTTTTTTTTTCCCCAGCTAGAACTCCAGCCATTGCTCCCTCCCTCTTGTTGATATGGCAGAAGTGGGTGAAGACCCTGCCGTATTTACCACGGATGTTCTGCCTTCTGATGCCAGGCTCCTCCCAACATTGACCAACGCCTATCTGGGCACCCGAGTCTACAGGGATATCCTTCATGTTAACGGGGTGTACAATGGAGAAGTTGGGCAGACACATCGGGCTGATCTCCCCAGTCCCCTTAATGTCAAAATGGATGTGGATGGGGCTGATGACTTGAGGGAGACCTTCTCTTTGGACACCAGGATAGGTAAGTGGCAATGCCACCCTCCTCATCTACATTGTTTCCATGGCTAATACATTCTTGCTACCCTGTCAGGGCAGCTTTCTTCCATTCACATGCTGAATATAGAAATTAGCTTTTGTTTTGAAAGACAATGTAAACCTAAGATTTAAAAAGGAGAAAAAGGGGTGGAAAATAGAAATTTCAAACTGAGCTATGTTCTCTGAAGTTTGAATCCCTTCCTAGCTCATAAAGGAATCTGAAAATCTCTTAAATGAACCTATTTTGAAAGGCAGATTTTAAAACAGCCTCTTCAACTAGATCTCCAGATGCAGCAAAGTAGTCCCCATTAGCAACAGGCTGACATGAGTTGTCCAGCATGTCTTGTCCAACGGGGAAGCCTCCTAAAACCTTCAACCTGAAAGAAGGCAAGAATTTTTAAGATACGAGAGTGCTCAAAATCTGGAGAATATTTTCACTTTCTGTGAAAATGGATATGGTAGCAATATGGAAAATCAATTGTATTTTGTGGAATTTAATAACATATTTTGATTTCTTGTGACATACTTAAGAAAAGTTGTCACAAATGTAGAGCTCATTCTCTGTTAACCTGCTTATTTTTCACTCTTGGTTGTTGAACAAAGGTGAAGGGGCAAATGTTCCCATAGCGGCAAAACTTTTCTTATCTATAAAAGTCTCAGACTCTTTAGCTTCCATCCCAGAGTCATTTGCCACCCTGTCCAGGTCAGGTCTTGCAGGCTGGATACCATAGCAACAGGGTCATATAAAGTCACAATGTCAAGTTAATAAAAACTCTAGTACTGGATGTTAAGATGGGAGCTTCTGCACAGAATAGCACAGTGTACTGTGAAAATTCCCCCCCCCCATGGGGTATCACTGCTGTCCTTATTAAGGAGCTCCTAACAGCTTGTAAGAATTTGGATATCAGCTTGCTTGCTTTGTATGTTTTTTGTGTTAAGCTTTCAAAGCTGTTAGCTTAAGTTAATAATAAATCCTAAAATTTCTTTATTCCCTGGTATGTTTATTCTCTCTGGATCCAAAAGACCAATTGTGTGACACTTGCAAAACAATGGATTACCTTTCAGTCCTTGAATTGAATTGAATGGTTAGGCAGACGATCCCAAAGTTCCCCTTTCATATTTCAGTTCATCAAATAACAGAAGGATTATATTGCCATGTTTCAATTTCTTATGCCAGACCCTTTTGCTTATGTGAAATTGCAAAATAGATTTGACATGAGAATTTAGGGTATGCATTCAAACTGACCCTTTCCTTCCGTCTGCAGGGACGTATATCCATACAGCTCAGTGCTCAGAATATACAGCTACTCACACAGTCTATGCCCACCAGTCTCTTGTCCACCTTCTGGCTTTCAGCATAACAATCGCAAGATCAGCTCTCGAAACTAAACCCATCACAGTGAATCTCCACACCCAGTTCAAACCAGAGAGTCCAGACCTGGACTTGCAGAAAGGGCCAGATTTCCTGGGAGCTCAGTGAGTATTATTGTAGGAATGTTTTCTGTGGCTCCTGGCCAAGCATTGAAAGACTTCAGTAACAAAGCTTGGTCATTTTTCTTGTGGTTTTGAATAGGGAATAAATGCAGTTCCCTCCAGAGGACACAGGGAGGCTGTCAGGAAACCCCTATCATGCTAAGAGGGTGCTTTGGATTATAAGAAAAGGTGGACTTTGTCTAACATTGCCTTCCCTAACCTGCTGTCCTCCAGATACGCTGGCTCTACAATTTCTTGAAATCCCAACTAGCTTGGTCTACAAGGCAGAGTGATTGAGGGAGAAGAGAACCATTGGCCACTGCACTTAAAAGGTATAGGCAGAAATACAAAGAATAAGGAGAATGGGAAGATGGAAAAGGTTTAGATTAGAGTTCAAAAGGTATGCAAAGCGAAGTCTTTGTGCTCAATGAGTATAAAATTCCAGTATAAAATGTTTCTGTTGTTTAGTAGATCCTCTAATATCCAGAGAGAAACATAAGGATTCCCATTTTTTTCTTTCTCTTTAGCTATCTATATGGAAAGACATTGGTCCCAGAAGTAGAGGGTGGCCCCCAGCCTACTGTACACATGATCTGGACCCCGGTGCCCCAATCAGTGACCCTCCCTGGAGACCAGAAGGAGCAGAGATGGGAGTTCCTCACTGCCCTAGCAGAGTCTGAAGAGGTTGTGCAAAAGACCTTTTGTGAAGGGATGTCCCTGATTGGCTCTGGTTCCTTATATCTGTCTCACACCCAGGCATGGGCAGCACTCTGGGATGGCTGCTGTGTAGATGTGGACGGGCCTCTTCCCTTCAGCCAGGCCATATATGGCTGCCTGTATTACCTGCTGAGTGCCATTCCTCCTCTGGGCTCTGCGAACGTCCCTTTCTCTGGAATCAGCCCAGGAGGCCTTTCCAACGGCACATCCGGTGAAGACTACTGGGGCCATGTCTTCTGGGACCAGGTGAGCAAAGGGAACCACCCCAGTTTTCTACTGCTGGATGAAGCGGAGATGAATTGGAGAAGATGCTGCCTGGCATGGCAACGTCCTGGTCATCTTCTGTCCTGCAACTATTGTTAGCTTTCTGTAATGTGCATGCAAAGACTAAAAGGTGTTGTGAATTTTGCCCAGTTCTGCTTCTCTCTGTTGCAGGTTGATGTAAGTACCATGCAATCAACTGTGAGTTTAGATGTGTGACTCAATCTGGAAAGTGAAGATAGAAAGTTAGACTTAGTTCATCTCACCTGGCATAGATGGGATACAATGTATGTGTGTCTTTAACCAAGAGATTTTTTTAATTGGAGGGTCATGGATTGAATCTGGCTATTATTTATGTTCTATCCTGAGGCACAGTCTCTGCTTCTCAAATAAAATATCTTTTCAAAATGGTCAACAAATTGCAATGTTTTTTTAGCAAATGACCTGGCTCTGGATATGTCTCTATTTCTTCCTTCTTCCCTCCCTCCCTCTCTATCCATTTCTTTATAACTTAAGCTTTGCTAACCTTCCAATTGTTCCATCTGGCATGTGAAATCCCATGTTTTTATTATTGCTCTTGCACTTCCTGATTTAAACACTGTCCCCTAAATTGTGATGTGCATTGGGACTAACTATGCATATTCACTTTAAGATTCTGGGCCCGTCATTTTTTCTTCCACAGTCTCCTGAAGAGGATTTGATACCAACTTTCCACCAGCCTCCTGCCCCAGAGAAGAATATTCATCATGTGGTTCTCTAGTTTAGTTTTTAAACTGAAGCGACATAATTCCTAGGGCCCAGATTTTGTTTTGAGGGTGGGGTTGAAGAAACTTGTCTCCCGCTCTCCATCTCACCCTCATCTGAAGCAGGGAGCCCTTATGGGAAAGGAATAAGTGCTGGCTTTACTCTAATTTGCAGATCTTTTTCATTTGGTGGCAATATTTATATATATTGTCCTTTTTTGTTGTTAAACCTAGGATACCTGGATCTACCCGAACATCCTGCTTTTCTATCCAGAAGCGGCTTGTGCTATCTTAAAATACAGGATCCAAACACTAGAGGGAGCTCTACACAATGCACGGGAACAAGGATACAAGGTAGAAGCCACTTACATAGGCAAGAGGA